AGATGGGGGGAGGGGGATTGTTACTTTGTGAGGGTGAAAAGGGTAACTATTGCATTGTTCTGTACACCTGAAACTAACAACAAAAAAAGTGCTCACTTGTATTCCATTGCCTATTTTAATTGATGTAAGATTGTTTCTATTTTTCCCTATATTTTGTCTAAGATCCCACAAGAATCCCAGAGAGTTTAAGTAACTTGCTCACAGTAACACAGCTAGTAAGTCACCATTCAGACAGCCTCAAGTTTTCTGGAGGCCACTGCCCAAGATCTCTCTATAATGGCGCTGGGGAAAGGGGGGTGGGGGAATCTCCCGTGACCTCTGACCCTAGAGGTGGTTGTAGATATGGCAAGAACAAATGTTTTAATAACACCTGAGCAAATCCTCACGCTTCTTACAAATGTTTCCTGGGGCTCTTATGAGATTCTGGGAGAGGAGAAACTGAGGCCAGGAGGCAGCAACAAACTGTCCAAGCATTTCCCTCCAGGTTCATAAGTCAACCAGCTTTATTTAAAAACGAAACTAAAGAAACCAAATTAAATATTAACTCATAAAAAAACACTTCAACCAGGAGATTGTTGGACTATCATCAAAGAGCTATAAAAAGGGAATTTTGAACAGCTTATTTTTTAAAAGGAAAAAGAAAGTTAAGGATAAAGTTAGAGCGTTTTCCACACATCCCAGTCTCCCTTTAAATTCCAAGTTTTCACTTTCAGCCACTGCTCTGACTCTGTTTAAACACTGCATGGCAGTTCCCTCAACAGGAGGCGGAAACCAAAATCTTTCAGGTATCCGCACTGAAATGTTTAACTTCCTGGAGATATCACTTCATCTTCCAAGGAACTAGCCAAAGAAAATACTTCACATGCAAACCTATCAGCTGTATAAGTAGGAAAATTTGTGAAACTCAATTGGGTATGGCCTAAACCAGCTGGAACACACTGTTACTTATAGTTACAATTTGTTGGGCCACGCATTAAGATAGGTCTTTTGCGCTTTAATCCTCATTGTTGTCCTCTGAAGTCGTTATAGTCCCATTTTACTGGATCGGCGTGTTTAATATAACTGAGAACCCACCGTTCATAGATGGGACTAGGAGTGAAACCAAGGATTTGAAAAGTTTAAATTCAAAATCTACACCCAACCTAGAGACACTAAACAGAGCTCTTCGAAAATTTAAAATGCATGTCAAAATAATTTTAAGGTCATATCAGAGCAGGCAAGATGAAATAGAAGAATGGCAAAGGCTGACAAATAAAAGATTACTAGACATGACATCTGAGTTGTTTCAAGACACAGCCGCGGGTTATTAACGATGAGCCATTCCGCAGAAAGACAAGACAGTTCCCCTCCCACCTATTCGCGCGAAGAAACCAAGTCTTCCCTTAAGGGGAGCAGCTCTGGACTGCCAAACGTTGGAAGGTTTCAGTGTAGGCAGCCCAGAGCTGGGCTATTACTGCTCACACATCATCAGTAAGTGCCTCTCAAACAGAAAAAGACAGGCAGCCCCTCCCTCCTCCACCGCCTGAACTTTAGCCCTGACCTCCGGAGTGGCTGTGGACAATCTATGGTTTAAAGGGTCCTTTCAACGCCAGGACCGAGTTACCCGAAATGGTTGCAAATGAATGAGCTGAAAGCTCAGAGCAAGGAGAATGAAGCCACACATCCATTCTCTATCAGGCAAAATCTAAGAAGGATGCCCTGTGACGGGGTGCGTGGTGGCCGAATTAGAGCCACGTACCGGTTGGCAATCCACCTTCCCCCTCCCCGCACTTCGCAGGACGCGCGGCTTCCCAGCCCATCCTCCTCCCCAGCTTCTCGGGGTGCTCCTTACCCGCTCCCAGCCGGGGCTCCAGGCACTCCCAGCCGAAGGCACTAGCTCCAGGCGAAGGATTTGCTAGCGGACGGTGCCCGCTGCCGCAGCCACCCCCCCAGCCGAATCCCCTAGAAAGTTTGCTCGGGGTCTCGCCCCCTCGCGCCACGGCCCCGCAAGGGAGGCTGCTCTCGGGTCCCTCCTGCGGCCGCCGACCCCGAGGCCGCTCGCGGCGGCGCTGCAGCACCGGGCGGGCTCCGGCAGCCGTGGACTGCTCCTTGCGCGCTGAGGGCGGGGTCTCCCCTCCCGGCTCGGCCCACGGCGCAGCGCTGAGTGTTTACAGCGGCCCGGCGGCCCGCTCTCCCCGCCCGCCGCTCGTGACATCATTCATTCTCGCACACCCTCGCCCGCACTCCATTTCCCAACTGTGACTCACCGCCAGCCCGGTGGCGGCAGCGCCCGGTCCTACTGCCGTGGCTCTCCAGGTGCAGAGCGGGAGCTCGAAAAACCGGTGCGACTCCTTAAGAAGAAAATCCCGGCCGACCCTCCCCTTTCCCAGCCATTAAAGGTGCAAGGAAGGGAGGGGCTTGGCAGGAAGGGCCGATTGGCTCCGGACCTAGAAGCCGAGCGACGGAGCTGACTTCCCTGAGCAGCCACAGAGATCGGTCTGGGAAAGTTGTTTGGGTGTCACTCCCAGCAACTTTCAGGTGGGGCTGGGAAGGGATCCCCCACCTCCGCACCTCGCCTTATTCAGGAACTGCTTCCTGACGTCGATGTGAGTGGGCTTGGGGGCATCAGCGGTTATTTAAAGGGTGTCGCCGGGGCCTAAGTCAAAGAGGTGGGCGTCCAAACCTCACGGGGTTGCCTGGAAGGGTTAGTCATCAGTCTGCAGGGTGGCAATTGTAGGTGTGAGCTGGAAGGGTGCTCTAAGTTAATGAGGCTAAACTTTCCCTTCAGTGACTAACCACCGTGTCATTTGGCCTGTTAATTGATATGCTTCTCTGTAAGGATAAAAAACTGTAACCAAAATAAACAGGGAAGGAGTCCTTTGCTCAACTGAACACTGAGCTTTTCCGCAGTTTTTGGGCACAACGCGGTTATGTGTGGCTTCTTTGATAAGCTAAGCATTATATTTTTATTAATAGAAGATGTGTTGCCTTCTTTAAAATGGTCAAGGTTCTACATTTCTTGGAGTTGCTATTCGTACACCTGCTGGGCAGTTTTCAAAGTAAGGGATGGTAGCTTCAGAAATTCTAACTAGGATGAATCAGAGGGAATTTGGCCAAATCTTTATTGACTTTAATTGACAGAAATGTTTTCTGTTGATTTCTATCTGCGGACAGAGTAATTAAGTTTAGGATATGCACTGGCTTATGGGTGATTCTATATAATCAACAAAAATAATCCAAAGGCATCTCTGGGTGCCTAGTGCAGACATCACGTGGGTAAACAATCATTTATCTATGGTAATTAAGCACAACTGTAACAGAAAAACAACACGCAGGGCAGTCCCAAAAGAGACAACTGTAAGATGTTACTAGAGACGTCTCCCCCAAAAGAAAATGCTCCTGAAGTTAACCAAAGGTTCCACATCATTATTGTGGAAAATGCACTCAGAAGAGACACCAACGGATTGAAATTTATTTTCCTTGGTTCTATTTTTTTTGTTTACAATAGATGATGGTTTTTAATTTTACAAAGCCCAGGCATTTTGCCCAGAAGGCAATAGCACACAGATTGGTTTGCTAGGATGCAGTCAAAGAAAATGGAAATTCAAGCCAACAGTTTTTACAGACAGTCACAGACCTAATCAGAAGCTTGGGTGTCTTGTCCATTGACAACTAGGAGGGACTAATAATGTGCAGCCACAGGAAAGTTTGGGTGAATATTCCACCTACCCCCTACTTTATGACCCAAATATTTGGACATTATGGAGATAGGTGTAAATAAGATTTTCTACAGATCTTAAAAAACGATGTTGTGGGCTTTTGGGCCTAAGCACATGGATGAAGTAAAAAAGATCAAAACAAAGCCTGCCGTCCCATCTGCATTGTTGCACGATGTAAATCCTGCAGCTCCATTGTAGGATGATCTCTGCGAGGCATAGTGAATAATAGTTCTGAATTTGTGGTTACGACTGGGCCTCAGTTTAAATATTGTGAAATAAATGATTAGGTCATTTTATTATACCACGTAACTATCCTCCAGGAAAGGTAATAGTATAATTGTGATTCGGTTGCATGACGTTTTTCCATTCTGTTCATTGTCAACATGAGAAAGCAAATTATTCACTAATTTCTGTTTTGAAAAAATACTGACTTGTCCATCTCACAGAGAGGTGATTTTCTTTTCTTTATAACTGCATCTTTTAGTTCCTACAATGTACCAAAGTTTACTAAGTCCCTAATTAGTCAACCTCCAAAAATAACAATGCTGAATGCTCTAAGGAGAGTAAGAGTTGACAGGTGTGTTCTTGTCATTTTTTCCCTCCTAAAGAAATACATACTGTAAATCAAGTTTCACAGATATTTCTTTGGTCTGATAAAACATACTGATTAAGTTAGGAAAACATATATATCTGTAGAATTTACCACCTCTTATAATAACACCTACTCTGGATGTACCTAAGTCATTCACTCAACCAACAAAAGTGTATTGAATCTCTACTTTGTGCCCACATTGTTTATCTAAGAATCACCATGTATATCTTTCTAAACATGTCTCAGCAATGGGGAGGCTTGCTTTTTAAAAAATTTTCATATGGATGTTTATTGCAGCATTATTTAAAATTTTCCCAGGATCCATCATGGTGCAGGGCATGTCATTACTGAGTGGGTGAAATAAACAACTGAATACACCTTAAAGAACAAACCAATAGTGAAGTAACTCCATGTTATGGGATTCTATGTAGGCAATAAAATAAAAAAAGTAGTTCCATAGGCTCTGAGTTAGAAAACTGTCCTTGTTACATGAAAAGGGTAAGCAGAGACAGACAGACAGACAGACAGACACACACACACACACACACATGCTATTTTTGTAAAACAAATGCCACTTCCTCTGAAAAATCCATAACCAAATTATATATTACTTCTTGGCAATTAAATATAGAAGGACAGAGTGTGACAGGGAAACTTGTATTTCTGGACTATTTTTCAATGAGCCTGCATTACTTTTGTAATTAAAAACAACAACACAAGCAGTATTGGAACTTAGGAGGCAGTAATTCAATGAGTCCATGACATAGGGGAGCTCACTATCTAGTTGGAGAGACAATAACACCCAGAACAACTAGAGAATAAAGCTGCTCACCCTGTGGTTTGGGGGTTTCAGATAGTCACCCTGTGCCAGGCCCATCCGAAGAGTAAACACCTACCATTTATTGAGCACTTAATGTATGCCAGGAACTATGCAAATTGCTTTACCTATATTATCTCATTTAATCCTTTGAGCAACCTTCTGAGGTAGGTACTCATAATGACCTCTTCTACATAGGCGGTAACCAAAGATAAGGGATTGTCATTGTTCCAAGATGACACTCAAGTGAGTGGCATCATCAAGGCATAAAATCAGGACCTTCTGGCCCCAAAGTTCATACTTTTGACCACCATTCCTTAAATTGCATCTACACTGATATAATTCTTCTGACGTGACAATAATCTTACTTTTTTAGTTTTTAAAATGTTTATTTTAAACTTTATCAAAATATAAGGTAAAATTGCCACATTATAGAACAACTGGAAAATGAAAAATAAAACCACTGTTAACATCTTGGTGCCTGATCCACATTTCTTAGATTTCTATTGTTTCAGATAATTTCAACAACATCACACATATGATACTTATCCTGATTTTTTTAAATGCAGCACTATATCATGTGCTCTTTCTCACAATTATCATATTAGTAGCTCCATGATGTGCCAAAAACAAGTATGTGCTTGTGCATGTGTGTGTGTGTGTGTGTGTGTGTATTGTACTTAATCTGAAATCTGGTAGCCTAGTTATTAATTAGGGAACAGTTTAGTGTAACGTTTTTACATTTTTCTCTTGGACTATCTTTTTTATTGTTATTACTACTATACAAATGTTCTAATTAAACTGTCCTGGGTATTCAGAAAAGTAAATGAAATGTACTATGTGCCATATTTTATTAATGTAATTGTTCATGCTACTTCTGAACTGGAACAAGATGGGGAGGGTGTAGGGACAGCAATGAGCAGCTCTGCAGCAGTCCAAGTGCAAGATGGTAGTAGTCTGGGCTAGGAGAGTAGTGATGGGAATGTAGGAAGCAGAGAGGATTTGAAGCATAATGGACACAATTTGCAAATGGATTAGATATGGGGATGGAGCCAGAGATAACTCCTACCTTTTCCTTTGTGTACTTCAGTACTTGGGAGGATGGTGGTGTCTTTTACCAAGCAAAATAGGAAATGCCAAGATAGGAACAGGCGTGTGGAAGAAGATGAGCTTTAAACATGATGAGTCTGAAATGTGCGATTTATAAATGGAGACGTCAAGTGGGCAGCTGATGATAATAGTCTGGAACTCAGAAAAGAGGCATGAATTAGTGATATAAATTGGAGAAGAGTCAGCCTGTAGATAATAAGGAAGCCATAACAAAAAAATGAAAGCACCTTGAAAGAGTACAAAATGAGAAGGGAGGAGATCCAAGACAGAGCCGAACATTATAGGTTTGATAAAGAAGAGCACTGCAGATGAGGCTCAAAATACATAACTAGAGAGATAGGAAGAAAACAAGGAGAATGTAGTGTCAAGGAAACAACTTTTTGAAAAAGGTGGAATGACCGTCTACGTCAAATGCTCCTGAGAGAACCAGTGAAATAAAGACTAAAAAAGCCCATTGGATTTGATGACATGGAGGTCTTTGTTGACCTTAGCCCAAGGGAGTTTGGTTATGCTGTGGAGGTGTGGGTAAGGAAGAGCTCAGCAGGGGCCAGGGCATTGATTTCCTGGAGTGCTGATCTGTAAGGGGTGCTAAAAAAGTACCAGAATAAATGCAAAAGAACAAAATACAATCTGGGTTGATGGGAAATGAGGAGTGACTCCTAACGGGCAGGGGGGTACTGGGGTGATGAAAATGTTCTACAGTTGATTGAATGCTGATGGGAAGGAATCAGTAAAGGAGATAAGAGACAATGGCGAAGATAACCCATAGTCAAGGTTCAGGAGTAGCCAGGAGGAGATGGTCTCCAGAACACAGGGGGAACAAATGCCCTGAACCATGAGAAGGAACAACTCCAATAGAAGAGGGAAAAATGGAAATAGAAAGTGTGGGAGTGACGCAGTTGTGTTGTTAGGCTGCTTATAGAAAGCTGAAATCATTCCTTCTGATGCTTCCATTTTTCTATGAGTTAGAAGGTGGGTATTAATTTTCTATTGCTGCTGTAAGAAATGATCAAGAATGTACTAGTTTAAAACAACACAAATGTATTATCTCACAATGTTGCAGGTCAGAAGTCCCGCAGCCTTCTCTGCAGGTTTCTCAACTTTGGGTTTCACAAGGCTGAAATCAAGATTCATTAGGCTCCTAACAGCAGACTAACGAGCTTCCAAACTCACTCAGGTGTCAGCATAATCTCCTTCCCTCCTGCGGCAGAACCAAGGTCTTCATTCCCCTGTCAACTGTCAGCTGTGGGCCACCCTTAGCAGCTAGGGTCATCTGTCCCAGAGCCACAAGGGTGTTGAATCCTTCTGGCAGGGAGACTTCCCCTGCCTCCTCTCTGCCTCAGCTGGAGAAAGTTCTGTTTTTAATGGCTCATGTGATTCAATTGGACCCATCTGGATAATACAAGCTACTTTTTCTATATTAAGGGCCACTGTCTTAATTACATCTGCAAAATCCTTTAGTAATGTAACATACGTGTATTCACGGGTTCCAAGGATTAGCATGTGGACGTTTCTGGGCACCCATTCTGCTGACCGTAAGGTGACATCATCGAGTGAGAATAAGGGAATGGAACAGGTGGGAGGTTTTTCAAAGAATGGAAATGGTTTGAAGTAGCCATGCT